TTTCTTAATACAGGGTGGACCACGCAACATGATCAGCTTAATTGTTAGTGATTCGACTGGAAACGTTTTGTGCTAAAATAACATGGTTTGGGGAGAGTTTTTAAGATGATTATATCAAATTTTTTGTTAACCCTTCCCCCCCCCCCGGAGTTGTCAAGGTTACCTTCAGTTTTTTATAGCTTAACCTACAAGTTTTTGTACCCATCGTTTAGGGGATGCTGAGATGAATTCGGCAAGCATCATAACATACAATTTTTTCAGAATGAAAACAAAAAAACACTAGGTCTACGTATAAAAAAACCGTGATAACTTCGGAAAGAAAGAAAACCATGTTATTTAGCATCAGAATAAATTGAGCTGATCACTTTACGTGATCCACCCTGTATATTACTGATTTTGTTTCTTTTTTATACTCTGTTTTGGTTTTTTCTCTTATACAGCCTGGGTAAAGTGAAACAAACACTGCATGTCTATATAAATTTGTGTTAGTACTACATTATTACAGCGAGTATTGCGTAAACGAAAAAGATTGTACCTTATTTGGTTTCTACAGAATTAATTTTAAAAAATATTCTATTTTACACATTACGCTATATGGTCAAGTACCTGGCGTATATATTCTTAATCCTTCACTGGTATGCTGGGGTCGTGAGTGACCCTAACTTCGTATTTCTATTTTATTTTGTAGTGAAAGCTTAATTTTCTAGGTTTTTATTATTTAGCTAAGAATCAAATACAACAGATAGTTTATCCAGGAATAGATTAACATATCTTTTTATGCTTTGTATATGGGGATTTTATCATGACTTTAATGTACCAGTTATTATAAAATCGCCGTACTGGTTAAGTGTTAAGAATTATAGTGGCTTCAAAAAGTATTCACGCAATAAATTTTGAACCTTTTAAAAATTGTTGATATTTGAACTATTACAATGTTATAAAAAAGAATCGTATAATAGTAAACATCGACTCTTTTTAAAGCTTACAGTTTCTACCTTTTCAATCCACATTACTTATTTAGATGATATAATGGATGGGAAACGAAACATATACTTTTCATAAACAATGCTACAGTTTGAAACGTTTGGAACATTTTAAAGCATTGGAAAATTTGTATTGCGACATATTGCTACACATATTGCTATGCCTTTGGTTTGTTTACTGGCATAATTAACTTTGTGTTTATCGAATAAGGCATATGAAAGTATTTATTCATTTGTTTTGCCTATTTTTGCATGAAAAATTTAATTCGTCGTATTCGATAAATATGAAGTTAATTACGCCCAAAAACAAAACAAAGGGACAGTAATTGTTCACACCACAGTAACCGACTCCACTATCCCAGGTTTGCACATTGGAGCTTTCTCTTTAAAAACCTTTGAATATTGATCTACAATTCGTTTTATTGAGTTTTGAACGGAAGGTGTACTCTCTGTTTTTATATACGATCCCGAACATTAATTGGATATTCCGAAAACGCGGATTGCGCCAATCTCTCGATTTCTGTGGCTAGAGCAGAAATTGACTCCCCTTGCCGCTGTTTGCATGTTTGAAACAGGACATAATTCAATTTGATAAAATTTTTCTGTCCAAAACGGAACTAAAATGCCGAAACTATTTCGCGGGAGACAAAATAGTTATCAGCGGGAAGAGAAGTTAATACTTCCCGAGCTGAATCATCTAGCGAAGCGACTGAGACGGCAGCTGTCCTCGCCCCGTCTCAACCGTTTATATTCGCGACTATCTCGAATTGGATTTAGTACTCCTCCCATGACGTGGAACCGTCATAACGCGTCAGCTTTAACGTGTATCCTAAGGTAAATGTCCCAGTGATTGGACACACCCAGTGACTAGACATCACTTTACATTTTCGTTAATATTGAGCTTTGTATTAACAAGCAGGCTACTGATAAAACTAAATACAGTAAATTCTCCCTAATTGACCCTCAGCTTGGAAACAAAAATGGACAATTTGGGAAGAGGAAGTATGATTATTCGAACCTTGCGGATCGTTTTTATAGTTATCGATTGCCAACAACTATTGGGTTGGCAACTAAGTAACTGCCGACTTGTTCAATGAAATAAAAANATGCCGAAACTATCTCGCGGCAGACAAAATAGTTATCAGCGGGAAGAGAAGTTAATACTTCCCGAGCTGAATCATCTAGCGAAGCGACTGAGACGGCAGCTGTCCTCGCCCCGTCCCAACCGTTTATATTCGCGACTATCTCGAATTGGATTTAGTACTCCTCCCATGACGTGGAACCGTCATAACGCCGTCAGCTTTAACGTGTATCCTAAGGTAAATGTCCCAGTGATTGGAGACACCCAGTGACTAGACATCAATTTACATTTTCGTTAACATCGAGCTTTCTATTAACAATCAGACTACTGATGAAACTAAATACCGTAAATNCTTTGTTCCAGGTCGCCGTGTTTCAAATTCACGTTTCAATTAATCGGTAATCGCCCCGTTGCTTTATAGAACGATTTTACTGATCGATCCTGGCCAACAACACTGTTTTAATGGATTTCGTACTGATCCGAATCGCCCAAAAAAAACTTACAAAGGAAGATCATCACGACCCTTAAACCGTCATTTCAACTTATGAGAGACATTACTGAATGATGCTGTTAGTAATTAGCTGTTATCGACGGCGTCCTTTGTTGCGCAAGAGTTTCATGTATAATGAAAATAATTATCTGCAGTACTGAATGGTTAATACTGATAAAAAAATATATATATATATATATATATATATATATATATATATATATATATATATATACCGTAAATTCTCCCTAATTGACTCTTAGCTTGGAAACAAAGATGGACAATTTGGTAATNCCAGTTGCTAACATTCACGGATAATAAAAAATAACATAATAATAATAATAATAATTGTATAATATAACATTTACGGATATCATAAAAATGGGAGTGAGAGACATCTGTAACTGAAATCGGCAATTACTTAGTTGCCAACCCAATATAAAAACGAGCCGCAAGGCTCGAATAATTGTACCTTCTCTTTCCAAGTTGTCCATTTTTATTTCCAAGCTGAGGGTCAATTAGGGAGAATTTACTGTAATGTTTTCAAAACATTTCTTTTTACAAGAGAACGGCTGTTAGTTTTGAGCTTAGAATAACGTTTGTGTAATATATACCTTGAATAATTCTGCTAAGAAAATCTAATCACTTCTTAAGCATATAATTAATTTGTATTTTACATTTTTCAACAAGTATGATATTTTATTAACTCGTTAAAGGATATAAAATCCTTACACCAGTCACGCCCCTACTTCGCTGCACGATACGAGGCAGCGAAGGCCGACTTTTTTTTTTGTCTACGTTGGTCGCAACTGACAAGAGCAAGTGTTTTTTATTTTCACGTATGTTCTAGCACTGAGAAAACTAAGCGACACGTGTATTTTTTATATCAGCAATAATTCGATTTAAAGGGGTGAAACCCATCTCTAGAAGTTGAACTTGTGACGAGAATAATTGGAATTTCTCGTGAAAATACTAAACTCTTAAATTTTAATGTGTCTTTTGGAGAGTAGGTTTCATCCCTTCAAACCGAATTACCGCCGATATAAAAAAAGAGTACTTAACTTTTGAGTACAACAACATATTGTTGCGAATTTCATTTACTCTATGTGTCGTACGTAGCGATATTTTATATATGATATTACAATACTAAATTATACACAATAGCAATTATATAACAGATATTTGATAACGATAAGTTGATCGCTCGATAGCCCGATCTCGACTCACGACTTTTCGTCGATACAATAGTTACGTTCCATTATTTCCTTAGGGGTAAATCCATCACAAGACAATATTACATTACAGCGACTTAATTTTAACAAGTCGATGTAACAATATGTTACAATGAAAATGATCAGAGAGGATCACTTGCAATGAGATACGATAATATTCGAATGCCTCTAAAATGATATAGCTTATATGCATGGTGAAAAGTTCATCAAAATCGGCTGACCTTCATATGAGCTGTAAACGATTCAAAATCATAGAGATCGCATTTTTGTCATGATTTTTTACACATTTGGAAATCTACAGATTTTGACATCTTTCAATGCCTGTAGCTTGGCTTTGAGTTGACCGATTTCGATTAAATTTTCAACATACGTATGTCTTACCGAGATGTACGAAACGCATTTTTTTAAATTTTCGTTACTGGTTCAAACAAAAAAGATAAAAAACGAAAGTTTTCGAAAATTTTGGAAATAATTTTTTAGCTATTGTCTAGTAAACTAATCCTTCTAAAATCTCAAAAAATATTGATCGTTTGACCAAATTATAAAAAAGTTATTTCGTTTTAGAAAGCATTCGAATACTTTCTTGTCCCACTATACCGAGTGTTCCTTGTGAGTACAGCGGTACTTACTTACATAGAAAAAATGATTTCAGAGTACATGCACCACAAGACTTTACAATGATAAATTCCGAGAACATTTTTACATAATGTATAATAACAATAAAAAAAACAAAAATTTTCAAGAGTCCTTAGAAAGGTTTAATCTATTAACGTATGGTAGATTTAGTCACAGAAGAAAATACCTAATGTTTCTAGAAACATTGTTTTCTAGTATTTTCGACAAAAAGCGTATTTGTAGTTTCCCACTTGCTATATGATATAAAAAGTTCTTAGATGACAATAAATAATCAATTATGACACTGGATGTTTTAAATTTTAAAGAGAGTCCAGTTTCATCGATATACAACGTGTCCCAAAGTTATATTACTTTCGGGAAATTCGGGGGATTCCTGAGGTCATTTGAAGTAATTTTTTCCTTAGTGCAAATACAATTCGCGGTTTTGTTTACACAAGTTATTAACGAAAAAGATTGACCAATGAGAGGCGAGCTCGACTAGCGCATGACGGCCGAGTCAACGAGCGGACGAAGCTCATTTCCGCTCATTCATATCGGAAACGCTTTTACAATTTCTATTTCTTTATGTTTGAAGGGGGGACGTGATCCTTTGCAGCGGATGTTCTTGCGCGTTGGATCTCTGCATAACAGCTTTAGCACGAGAAGGCCAGAATATCTTGATACCACAACCTGGATTTTCGATCTATCGAACCCTGGCAGAAGGTCTCGGGATCACCGTAAAATCATACGATTTACGTGTAAGTATAAACGTATGCTGCAAGAAATTTACACTGAGAGCTCCGAAACCTAGTTCTCACAGGGTTTCGATATAACCTTTCCGTGTGAAATATACTTGAATTAAGCGATCTTCCTTCGCATTTAGTGCCACTCTATGTATAATTCGAATGTAATTTAATAGCACTGTTCATCTATGAAATTATAATATAGTATAGTAGTTTGAAGAAACATTGATCTTTAGCTGATACGCATTTTCAGTTTTAATGTCGTTGAGATATCTTACTCGTTATTAGAATTGAAAATATATATACATTCTCCTCCAAAAGTATTAGGGCACTCACAGATAAATAAATAAATTTGAGAAACCGATAGGAAATTGTTATAATGTTTCAACTTATTTCAAAGTTAAGTGTATGAAACTGTAATAGCATATATAATATATGTATATATGTAATATATAAATATATATAATAGCATATAATATATATATTTAATTTTGATTAAATTATTTAATAATTTTTCTAATTTTTCGTTGATATATCCACCGCATTTTTTAATTACTTCTTGGACTAACTTCGGCATCCGTTTCATTAGTTTGTCTATTATTTCTGGTTCTATTTGGTTTCATATACATATATTGTAGTAAAACATGTTTTTCCTTCTTGTTTTAAAGTATGAAGTATGTTGATAATTACTTTGCATTAATAAGCATGTTATAAATCACAATGAATAATNCTTTTCTAGCAAATATATTCTTCTTCCTTGTTTTAAATCTCTAATTTCATATGTCCTGAAGAAATATCGACCGTTACTTTGCAATAATAAGCATGTTGTAAATAACAATTCATAATTGAAGTTTCAAAGTGCGGTCGGGGACAATTGTAATACCGACAGTTGGGGTCGATTGTAAGAAATTTCTACGCCTGATTTTCTTCATCTTATAATTTAAATAAGTACCTATATTTATCATAGATACAAAAGCATACGGAGATGGTTAGGAATTTTATAGCGTAAGCATAAATGAAAAATGGGTCCAATGTTATGGCTGTTATGACTGGGCACATAAAGAGTGTCATGCTGTGTTACAATAATAAATTGAATATTCCTTAATGCACAATAAAACCACCGTGACCGAATAATCTCAGATAAGTGGGTAAGAGTTTGTACAATAATTTTCATTGCAAATACAATAGTTTATGTGTAATCGTGTTCTAAAATCAAAGTGTTACAACTGTCATCAGTCTCCCCTACTTTCAACGTTATGATGCCATAAAACTTAATACTAATGAGAATACTAAATGAGAAATTATAATTTATACTAAATCAGCAGATGTCCTGATACTTTTGGAGGGGGATGAATATGTATTGCATAGTGGCTAATTTCGTGACNCTGAGAAATTATAATTTACACTACATCAGCAGAGGTGCCCTGATACTTTTGGAGGGGGATGAATATGTATTGCATAGTGGCTAATTTCGTGACTAAGGTGCGGAGGCTATTTTAAATAGGATTCTCGAGCGAGCTATGCTATTTTAACTCTCGAACAGTGAAAACATGATTGAAAACCAATATTGGATCGATTGTGACAGAAAATCGCATTATTCTTACATTGAAGCTAGGTTTCTGAGTCTCTTAATAATAGCATTGAATAATAATTTGCTACCACAGAATCGAAAGCAGAAATTTATTGACCACGAATAAAATAAGCTGGTAATTTTGAAACTGATGCAACTTAAATACAAGGAGTTAAAAAAAGTATTCAATATTTATACGATGTATAGGACACACTGTACTGAGCGGAAAAGCCTTAGTAAATATAGGTCAAAAGGTCAACCGTTTCTGAGATATAAACACTTTTGTTTGCTAGTATAATGATTGATGTATTATTAACTTTTCGTAACCGAATTCAACATACTTGTCAAATATTTCGTCAGAGATGTGGAATTTTCGAGAGTAAGCACTTCTATAAGAAGATGATACCAGATATGTATAGAAATGGAAGGAGGACACATGGAAAATCTTCTGTAAATTGATCGACCTTTTCACCTATGGTTACTAAGGCTTATTTACTCAGTACTGAGTGCTCTATATACTATTTAAATATTGAATGCTTTTCTTTAGCACCCTGTATATTTCGTTTCGAGATATTTGCACTTTTCCATCCAAGCGTATCAAAAGTATTTTTCTATTATAGGACAAAATATTTGGTGAATTGTATGATTTTCCAACGTCACGTTTGTAGCATGTGAGAACATATCTTTTAAATACTTCAATCACTTACACCACTTTCAAAATTAATAGTGAATTCTAGTCATTGACTCACAGTAAACAAAAGTAGTGAATTTTATTTTTATTTTTATTTTTATTTTATTATTGAACTAAAAGTAGTCAATTTTATTTAAAAATATGATAAACCAATGGATTTATTTATTTACTTATGCTTCTGCTAGTATTGTTTATTACATTTATGTTTTTTATAATAATTCGCGAGACTTTTATTTCCTGTTGCAAAACTTTGCACATTTAACTGATCACTTATTGCATATCAGTTAATATATTATCTACAGTCGATCATTTTATAATTTCCGAAAGTCCATAATTTACAGTTAAGAATTGCTTAATAAATAGTTAGGTACTTAGCCACTTGTGAGTTTCATTTTTAATAAGTTACATTTTCGATGTATGAAAATGTAAATGTACACTTCTCGACGAAAAAAAATTATCCTATTTACAAACATTCAACTCAGGTTTGAAATATTTTCGATTTCGAGAATGTCGAACCCTGGTATAGTGGATTTCAAATGCTGGAAAACTTGAAATGTGTGCTTTCAGAGCTTCAATTCTATGACTTATACCTTACATCACTGTCGAAATGAACGTGATGTCGCTGCAGATAAAACTGAAAATGATACAATCGTGTCATTGCTTACTCCACGGCTGTAATACAATTTTGTTTATAATATTGAATATATAATATTGAACGTAACATGAGACAAATGAAAATCTCGCTTGTTTTGGTTTTGTGACTTATATCACTTTTAAGATCATAGGCACAAATTAAGATGTGACTAAAGCTGATTGAAGTCGTATATATTAGAGGGTTACTGTTACTTCGCCGACAATTACAGTAAATTACTTGTTATTTTTATTTCATAAAAAAACAGCAATGCAAATGATATAGTAAACCATTTATTGTATTTATAATTTTATTTTATTCATATTTTATTAATAACAAATAAATACGTAATATAATATAAATTTTATTAACTTTACTAACAGATATATATTTAATGCGTAACATAATTGGAATCTGATTACTGTATAATATAAATATTATTAGCAAAAATCGGTGTCGGTGAAATAATTGCCGAAAATCAAAACGTGTCGGTGATATGATTGTCAATGAATAGAATATTGTCGGCGAAATGCGGTGTCGATGAAATCGTGTCGGTGAAATGATTGTCGATAAAATAATTGTTGATAAAATAATTGTCGGTGATTTCAACGGATCCCGTATTTCAGTTTATTTTACTTGTGCATTACAAATCGATATACATATACAGTAAATGCAAAAAGTCCACAGTTTCCTCAAGATATTGTAATTTTATTTACACGCTACTCCACAAAATTAAAGGTTTGCAAAATTGCTCATATTTAAATTTCTCCGTGACTTCAGGTACAAAGATTTAAAAATATTCGGGCTCTACTTGTTTTAAAGGGCGAAGTCTTTACTTTGACACCCTTGACCTCGGTTTCATCAAAGAACTCTTTTCATTGTAAAGCGGAGTGAGAAACTGAAATTCCTTTCCTGCATTTAAAATTTGTTAAATTTAAATGACTTCACCGAGTTTAAAAACTGTTTTTCCATATTTATTTTGATGTTACCCTATAAAGCGAAGTCTTCTCTTTACAGTGATTTTTCAAAAATTGAATAATCATTTTGAAGTTATCGAATTAAAAAAGTTTTGCAAATTCCGAACGATTGTTTGAATTTGTATTTCAAAAGAACGAAAACAATATAGATAGGGTCTCATAAGATAGGGTCAACAATAAGATAGGGTCTCTGAGAAAACTAATTGTAAGTTCAAAGACGTGAACTAAGACAGTCTACCGTTTATAATAAGCCCAGGTAGAATATTTTAAGACTTTTTTAACCTTTTAGGCACACGACGCGCCACTATAGTGGCTTCTGCGGATGTCATCTTTTAGAACGATACGCCACTATAGTGGCTTTCGCGGATGTCATCTCTCTGGATGACGCGCCACTATAGTGGCTTGCTCTAGTAGCTCACTCGCTTATCGTTTGAATCAAATAATCGTCTTCATATGCATTTTTTCACACTTCTTTCGTCTTCACATCGATTTACAACAGCCTACAGGGTGTCCCAAAAATGTCTCGCAATCCGGAAATGGCGGGTTCCTCGGATCATTTGAAGCAACTTCTTCTTTTACAAAAGTTTCTCCGAGGCACCGTTAACGAGTTATTAACGAAATACAGTGACCAATAAGAATCGAGCACGGCTGACGCGAGGCGGCCCTGCCAATCAGCGCACGAAGCCCAGTTCCGTTCATTGGCGCGATCGCCTTGCGCCAGCTGAGCTTGCCTCTCATTGGTCACTGTTTTTCGTTAATAACTCGTTAACGGTGCCTCGGAGAAAATTTTTGTAAAGGAAAAAGTTGCTTCAAATGGCCTGAGAAACCCGCCACTTTCGGATTGCGAGACATTTTTGTATATACAGTATCAGACTCCGTACAGTACACATCAGACTCTGCCGTCCAGAGAAATAGCCTCGCGCAGAATTCAGCCGTACCTAAAAGGTTAAGGGTCGACAATTTTTCGGGGATAATTTAGGGTTCCCTTAATTTTGTGGAGGAATTGTATTATATTTATGATATGGAAAATATTGCTTATAGTTAGACCAGCAGATCTTTATGAGAAAATGATATTTGTTTAGAATATAGGTTAATTGATGGGACTTGGAGTGATATTTGTTTTGTCATTACAAGATTCTAAGAATA